GAAAGCCCTGCGAGCTGTCACTTATCATGTCAAAATGCAATTCCGTCATTTTTTCCTTGCACGAGGGCAATCGATATCAACAGCTCCAGTAATGCCAGGAACTCAACATCGATTGTGGGGGGAGTTTGCACACTTCCACATTGAGCAACGCAATTGAGTGTCATGCTTAGCTGCGATTTATCTTGGGCTCATCACACAAAGGAAACGTTCAATAAGGTCCGGAGGTTATCGTTCTACGCCTGCTTCTTATGTCTCCCATGATTTGATACCTCGTTCTGTCACTGCCTGTGTCCTTCAACACTAGACATACTGCCTACTAGTAATTTTCCTGGCCTATTAGCCAAGAACTTGGGATTCATCTCCAGGTCGTTAAAACATTTGTCGCGATGCAGCGGTGTATCAACACGGCCGTTTGTAGAGATATTTGCATCCACACATTTTGGTTCCTGCGAGAGACTAGCGTCCACAGTACTTGCCGATATAAGTAACCCACTTCGTTGTGTAATGTCGGAATGTATGTCAACCTCGTCTACCAGACAGAAGTATATATATATATATATATATATATATATATATATATATATATATACAAGGGTTCGTCGCTGCCAGTTCCAAATCAGCTAGTCATCTACATGCCCGGAAAAGCACTAGACTGCAGTTTCAGCCTGTTGGGCATCATCAGTAGTGCGCATCCATCAGAATTGGAACCCATGACCACCAGCGGCTTGCACCGCCAGTCAGCTGATGTTGCTCAATTATACGAAATCAGGTTCATTCGAAATGGCTGTCTCAACGCATACTTCTTCACTTGGCAGGGTTCCACATCTACAAGCTGAACCGCGAACTTCGCCTCTGCTCACTAGTAAAGTGTACAACAGAAATTCGGGTATGCTATTTCTTCCAAACTTGTTGTACGGCTGTCGGCACCATAATGCGTTTTGTGCAGCGCAGTTGCAATCGCTTCGAACCCATTACAGGCATAGCACATGCTAATGGGTCATATTTTCCAAGCAAATATTGTTCCTGCTATTACGAATAAAGGAAGTCGTCTAATACATATGACTGGAGAAATCTTAGTTGAAGGTTTCACTGGCCAAGCTTCACACTGACTTCTTAGGGGTCCATGTAATAAACCAAATTTTGTAGAAAATAGTGATGATTTCATCATCACTATCATTCTTAAACATTGTTCTTACATGAACTTGTCCGTAGGTATAAACGAGTTCGGTCATCGTGGGTCATCATCATCATCATACACGTTAGTTAGAGGTGGAAAACACCTCAGCTACTGTGCCGCAATACATAGAAAAATGGAGAACAAAATGCAACTGGTCCAAGCCGGCTGAGCTACCGGTAACGGATGGGCATCGTTCCGGTAAGCTACCAGCCGGCTGCTGTGCACCAAAAAAAATTACTATGCAAAATTATCTATGGCTAACTAATGAGATCGTGGTTGGAGGGGGAGGCTAAGAGGGATGGGGTGGGACAAAGAAACTCACAGCACGAACGCCACTGAGGTCGGCTCTTAGCCATATCAGCAAGTGTATCCAGCCAAACGTGTTCATCGGTCATCGTGGGTAGGCCGTACCTTCTCCACATGCATAGGAACAACGTGTTGCATTGGTTGCCTTTATTCAAATTCTCATTGGTGGATACATCAGTCCCCTGGATTTGCTCGTGGTAATTTAAGTTGTACCGAAAGCTAGGGATTTATGGACGAAGAAATATACTCAAACTTATCAGGTCATTTGCGTCCTAGTGATACGGGAAGTCAGGAAAGTCTTGAAACCAGTCATTTTTATTGTAGCCTTAACATAATATGTTTCCACTTTGGGGCTTCCGCGATGTTGTAAAGTGGCTACTTGGAAATTTAATAGCTGTGTATGGACTACGGTTCGTTAGTCTGTCCGAAGGCATTAAATCCAATTCCCCGATTTCCTTCTCCTCTATCTAAGGCATACTTTAACTGTGACAATTTCGATTTCTATTTCTTTCCTAATCGTGTTTTCTATGAATCATCCGGACTTTGACGCTATTTACTGATGTATGTTTACGAACTCCGCACCCTTCCAGCACAGCGGCTCCAAACCAATCCCTCGTTGCTACAGACCCGGCCCGGCAAATGTGCTACAGGCATTAACTCTTTCATGTTCAAACGACTTCATCAATCTGGAGCGAATGGAGACCATAGGCGATAGTTTTTTGAAATTCGCAGTCACTGTACACCTGTTTCTCACCCATCCCCACGCTCATGAGGGTAAACTAAGCCATCTACGCAGCCGTTTGGTGAGTTTCACTTTTCTCAGGGGACCTGTTTTCCGCTTATGCTATGCCTAATTGCATTAGCTTCCAGCGTGGCGATACATCGTGTGTGGATTGACTCGCGAATGAAATCCGGTGCCGTTTCCTCCTTCGATTTCAATTTAGACCACCGCTTTGGATGCACTTTCCAGGACCAACTGACGGTTTGCATCACCACACGGGCTCTATAAGTAGCCTGCTGTATACCATCCAAGTCCTTAATCCTGTATGAATAGATTCCGGACGCGTTTCTGACCCACCGGCACTGTCATTATCTACTTCGTAATCATATTCCTCGATCATTATCGTAGTGGTCCCTTGAGACCATGAATAAGCAAGTGTGATCTCCAGTTAGGATTGCTTGTTTTAACAAGCGTTACCCGCGGAGCTCTATGGTGAACCGATAAGGCGTTCACCGGTAGTCTCTACGTCTTGGATTCGTTCTTCGGTTCTGCTTGATGTGGTCAATTGAGCTTGAATACGGTCATGGAGTGCACAATTGGGAGCGAACAATATCTGTGTTTTTCTTCCACACGCTTTGCATCGTTGAGGGTTCTCTACTCTTCATTATTTTCGGCCGTGTTCCATCACCTACTACTCCCTATTGGATCGCGTGTTCTATACGCTTCGATTGACCTTATGGTGTCTGTAGGCCCATACTTTACGTTGTGTGGTTTCAGCCTTGTAGCGTGTCCCAGTCTCCTCGCTTGGTGACTGGAAAGGTATCTTAGACATTGATCAAACGAACCTACCAATATGTCCTATGTGCTAAATTTTTATAAAATTACCATGGGGATTGGGGTCAATCCGACAGATCAGATGAACTGAGGACTGGGAGTCCTCGTCAGTGATAATTGTTAACGGGGCAGACACCCCTTTCCTAACAACTGGCACAGTTGACCATAAAGCATACTGAAGCTTATTGGCCAACCAATGATAGCGGGCTAAAGATGACGTTTCACCTTGTACGTTACCAATGAGGATGGTCTAACTTGAATCCTGCCAGTGAGCGCAGGACCATCCCCTTATTAACTAATGATTCGACCATATTATTTGACTTGCTTATACTGCCGGATGCACAATACAGTTTCCGCCTTCTAATCTGAAAAGTCGGCTGGTCAGCTTGCGCAGTAGCAGCAGCTTATCCGTACAGTCAGCGAAAACCACAACAAATTATTTTGCTGTACGTGCTATTCTTGAACCGAAGGTTTTTACATGTTAGTATAAAAGAATTTGGGAGGTCTTCGATAAAGGAATTGTGTCCAACAATTTGATCCCATTAACTCAAAATATGGGATCGAGGTTTGGTCTTTTTAACATCGTATGGCAAATGCGACATCCATTAAGAATCCAAACGTACCGCCGCCACCGCGAATTTCTTTGCCAGCTGTTTGAACTAACTCGCACCCGCGTAATCCGAGTCGAAGACGATTCCCTCCACTGAGTATAGCACCCGTAGCAACCTCGAGACAGAATCCCATTAGTAGACCGTATTTCACTCGGTCGAGGCAAGTAGATAGGTAAACGTCACCGATGGAGGAGGATGGAACAGGCATATCTACCTCCCCCCTAGCTAGCAATAATATTTTCCCTCATTTACTCTGCTGCATGTAACCGGCAAATTCTCTTTTCATATGGAACACGACAGCCAAGGAGAACACGGCTATGTATAGCTACGCTGATCGGGTTTCTTGTTCGATCTGATACACTACCGCAACATCCACACCTGAACAGAAGCATCACTCAAATCCTCATCCAGACCTTTTGATGAAGTATGCCCTTGAACTTTTTCAGTACGTATGTTAAGATTAAGAGACGCCTGATAAGCTTGTCACTGGCACGGTTGACGCACGCCTACGGTAACGGCTTGGAACGCTGGCCAATCGAACAGATTTGCGCTGACTTGATGGCGTTAGCTTAGCCCGGTGAGACGCGATGATAAGACACTGAGCCTTCTTAACGAACGAGGCTACGCTCACGAGAGGGGGTTACTGTAGACGCACGCCACTGGCTTAGACGCGAACGTTGCCCGACTATCGACGCACACAAAATCACGTGTGCCCTACCGGGTCCCAACTACGGCGAAGAGAAAGCAAGACAAGTGGGCCTCTGAAGACTCTTTTACGACCAACAAAGGGTGAATCGCAGCCAATGCTATGGGTCATTAAGTTAGGGAAACTAGCTATCACGACGGGGTGATAGATTGCAAAAGAACCTTGTCAACAGGTGCGCAGTTGTGCCGCTTCTCGGTGTGACGGCAAACTGCTACGTTTTGGGGAGGAATTGGACCCCACTTTCCACGGTCATTACGCCGGAGTTTGTGGCACGTTTTTGCGGGGATATTTGACGAGCCCGCAACAGTGTGCCATGAAGCGATCGCCGCACACGGCCATGTTGTTTCCTATATCTCAGCAAGAAGGATGGCATGACCGCACTTTTATCCCACAGTGGCAGGAGGGCATACTCGATTTGTGCTAGTGGCGAAGTGTCTGGCTGACGAACTAGTGCTGATTAACAACTTGTTAATCACAAATGACTATCCTCGGGAATTCATCCAGAAGCACAGCCGCAAGCGCAAAATGTGAGTTCCGGTAACTACCGTACCTACGAAAACGTATTCTTAGTGCTGCCATTTATGGGTAACATTACTACACTGAGGACTACGAGACGTCCGATTTCTGCCCCACAGAGGATTTGCTGTGCCGCCGAAGTTGTAATCATTGAGCGAACTCATAAGATGCCGCTTCCTCCACTGAAGAAAACAGCCTATCGTTGCCAACTCCTTTTTCAGGACCCTGAGTTCCCAACTGAAGGAGCACATATCATAATGCGTTCAGTTCGAGAATGCAGCATTCAGACCCAGCTCGGATTACGTGTTCACGCCAATCGCCGGCATCTTCGATCGGCAGACACTTGTTGATCTCTAGTCATCGGACTGAGGTCAACGAGGCGTTTAGGATCCTGCTGCGCCATACCGATTCCCGGCACCTCCGGTTCGCTGATGCTGTTGTCATAAGTCGGATTAAATCAGTGTGTGTGTTCAAAAGCAGTTACCGGTCAGCCTCAGGGTCAAGACACCCATTTGTCTCTATGTATCTTCTCGCCCTTAAACGGTTGTATATAATTACCAGTTATCGTTATCAGCACTGTTGAAACGATACAAAGTGCATGCATCTTCCGAACTTCGCCTTCTCTTTGTGCTCTTCAAGTTACTGTAGGAACTAACTGTTTTCAATTGTAATTAGCCGTTTGACCATTGCTTATCCAAGAGATCATCCGCAAGCCATAGGAACCGATGAATTCTCGTTGTTAAGGCTGACGGAAATACTCCTAGTGCCACCAGTATTGCAGACTGAGAGATATTTTCTGTCCGTCTTAGATAGGTGAATTAATTGCAGTTGCCCTGTGGCCGTTATCAGTTCTGTAGTTACAGAGACTGCATAATTGACCAACTGTCTCTGGTTCTTCACCCCTTCCTAGTCATATAGCACCAAGCGGTTTTTTCTCCTGCAATCTCAATTTGCACTTTCAGGTCTACATCTCATACCAAAGAATTACTCCTGATCCTTCATCCAGGGCTGGTGTTACCGTGCTGCAATAATCAAGTAGTTGCACCTCATCCACGTAATTCATCTATCAGTCTTCACCTGGCTCTCAATAAATTGATCCAGTACAGATGGGAAGCGACAACTCTGATTATCACTGTAGATTGTTAGAAGGGCCTCCGACACATCGTAGCACATCCTGACACTATTTGATATGTTAGGGTACGAGATAGGTAAAAACCTGTGCAATCCTTGGTTTGGTGCAGTATGGTAATGCTCCATTGTATCGATCACGATTAGACACAGCTTTATCGGGAGCCCGCTGGACAGAGTCTGTAAATTGATGGGCTTTGGGCACTTTTCGGGCAGTTTTTGCCGTACATCGCAAGACTGGGAACTAACTCTGTAGACAACCTCTTTATGAACCAAAACTGCTATTACGAATCGCGCTTCACCTTATGTGCACACCAGACGGTTTTCATTATCACTTCCTATGGGTCTACAATTCGCTACCCTTACATAAGTCAACTGTTGTTATCCCAAGACTTGTGCTTTACAAGATAATTCACTCGCACTGAATTATTTAGCTTCTTGTAATGCGATCATTCTCGCTAGAGGATGAAGGTCGCACACGGTAAGTTATTGAAGTCATCATCAGATGAGTCCAAACCAGGACAAAGTCGGTCATGGGGTGTCAGTGTTGGAAGGAGCAACACCGAAACACCTCCAATTTCATCTTACGTTTTTATCATGATTTATGGCATCTGGGTCTCCGATCACTCACATTTGGTCCGGCTGTTCCTCAAACTTGCACTATTTTCGACACACTGTTAACTCCTGTTTCACTTCATTTCAGGGTCTTTCGCGAATATATGCAGCTTAGGGACGAGTTACGTGCATCGGACACTTGTTTCTGAGTGCTTCTTCGAGGACCGCTTTTATTGCAATATTCGTACTGTATAACGTAGTACTTGCATGTTCGTTATGTTTGGATGTTTATTGCAGCGGCCACTCTACACTCACCCTGGTGTAAATCCTGCGTTGTTATCAATTTACGTCATTCCCTGGTGTCATGTGCTACGTCAAAGATCCTTGTATTCTTACTTTATCGGCGTACAATTACGTTCGCCAATTTCATCCGTCTTGGTCGTCTCCAGAACAACATGTGTTCTCTGTTCGTCCTTTCGACGTTCTACACGATATGTTCCTTTCTGTTTCGCTTTCAGGTATGTAATTCCAACCTCTATCGATTGGGGCGATTGAAAAACTTGCAAGACCGTATTATCGCCACCAAATTCGGGCCGTATGAGAACTGGGTCCCACCGGGCTACGTTGTTCGCCACGACAGACGCCTACCTACAGGGGTAAAATCCGATGACCCTCATCAGGAATCTAAACAGACCGTGGACCTAAACATTTGGTCCACTGACACCCTGATGGACGATGAGGTTCTTCTGGGAACAAAAGTGTGGGATGAGGATAAAGTGACGCCAATCGATAACTTGTCGGTCTCAGTCTGGGATCCGACCTCGCCGGAGGTCGTCCAAACTCAGCAAAGGTAAATATCAGTTAATCGTCCCTGATTGTTTATGTAGTTAACGCATCCCGCAATTTAAAAATCGCCATTATCACTTTGTACGAAAACCTTAGTTATTCACTTTGCATCTATTTTGTTGTCGTTGAAATTTCTAAGCTTTCATAGTCTCTTCGTGTGTCAAATGCCGTTTCTACAGCCTCTCATAGGTGCGAAGCCTCATTTCCACCTAATCGCTGCAGATTTCTCATTGATACCTCAGATGCGCATCCTCTCCATTGAACATGCACAACGGGTTTCGTGTTACTTCTTGATCGCGCGACTCGTGGCATACTTGTTTCACGTTCAATTCTATCCAATTGATCAACCATGGTCCCTCCACACCAAGATGCGATGGTTGCAATCGCTTTGGCTCAAATCACTAGAGGTGTACGGAAGCAATAATCATAATACTGCTAATTCAAGAAGAACAGGTGCTAACTGAATTGTCCTACGGAGCAGCTATGGGTCAAACGTAAGGCAGCGAATACCTTACCTTTATTGACGCCGTGACTGGGCAATCCAACACGTGATGTGGCCAATACCAATCCCCCAGCCATTACGCATCATGCTCTTACGTGTCACTGACTGGGATCCATCTAACACGATGCATTCGCACGAAACAGCACACGTCGAGACAGCCGGTTTGCGAGCACATGAGGAGCGGAGGCTGTTCGAGTGCAACAAGCGCAATACAAGATGTTCTCTTCCAATGCACTAGATGAGGAAATTTGTCAACTAAATAAATGGAATATTTCAGGACGGCATGATACACAGTCCAGCGGGGAGGTTTGATCAATGTATGCAGCACGATCGCATAAGACAGATAATTGTTCACTTTGTTCGAGATGGTTTTTACGCTAGTTTTCAAACTAGTCGACCAGTTAAACTTATTAGAAAGGCGGAAGGATTGACACAAATAATAAGTATGCATGTCGCCAAGCGTTCAATTGAAGTAATGCAGTCATCCGTGGAACCTTTTCCTATGGAGATGCTTTCAAGCGGGGTAATCTCCAAAGGTTTCATCTGCACTTCCATGCCCCGTATGGTCGTGTACCAGTGTGGTTTGAAGACAGGCAAGATATCATCGGCGACAAGGTCAGTCCGAAGCCAAGACTGTATCGTTTGTGTAGACTAAGGCGAGAGGGTGCATATTTGTTCGGATCTGGATCCAGCTAACCGAAAGTATCTATGGGGTGTGATATTCGAGCTAAAGACGAACCGGTGTGGGGAAACAAACATACGTATCGTGAATTTTCGCGCGGTTACAATACGATCGCGATTGCTCCCTCTTCAGGCCCGTAGGGCAACGAGCGAGATATCGTCACTCACAGTAAAGACCGCTGCGTTGTTAGAACAACGCATCCTGTTTATATTTCTGCGACGATCGAGTCGATTAGCGCACTTTTGGTTACTAGTTGCTCGATCTTAAAATTTGTCGTCATTTGCTTTAAAGTAATTATAGGCTCTAGTGCATGGACAATCGACAGAAATCCATCGATAGACGTTTTGATCTTAGATACTAAGTTAGCAGGCACACATGACACCTGATCAGTTGCGACAACTGGTCACTACTTTGCCTCAGTTAACTTATTTCATCTCAGTGGCTTAGAAGTTGCCGGAATTCTCCTGATTGTAGCACAAGCTCTTGTACGTCAAAACACGCATAATAGAAAAGATTCAATCTAATGATTGCAGGTAGAAGGGGACGTTAGGGATAGAAGGTAGATGCAAAGGTCGGACACAGAAGCAGGCAAAAGCAGACTAAGGTAAATAGAGCCGTGGATCAATCTTAAGGGGTCCGGATGTTATCTATTAGGGATCACAAAGAGCGCTTTTACTTTGGGACTGGACTGCAAGTAATATACCAGAGAAATGGCTCGGTATTTTTAGTTAACGTTTGCTGTTGGTTAACTGAGTATGTAAAAACAGCTAAGAACCGAGTGAAATCGACTTAGGCAGCTTAGCTCTGCGCTATCAGAAGAAAAATCATGGGGGAAAACCTACTGTGGGGTTTACCTCTTGGGTAACAGTAGGTGCTTTTCGTAGTCTATGCGACTCACGAAGAAAAACCTTGATAAACTTCTACCTGTCAGATATATTAGCCTTCGTGATTTTTTTCGAAATATCGTTCACTGAATCGCAGTTACATTTCCACCGTCAATACGGTCACTGCTTTCGTTGGTGGCAAGAGAAGAACCACCAATAGTGATGGATGCACACTTTGACACATACGCGCATAACCAAGCATTTAATCTGAATGAAAATTATAGTGTTGCTCATCCCAACACCGGCACCCCAAGACCGCGGTTTCGTCCTGTTGGGACTCATCAGTTGGAGATAGCCTGAGTTGGGCTGGAACTCAGAGCCTAGTGGCTCATGGTTGACGCCATAAGCACTATGCCACTGAGATCCACGAGCAACGCTTGGTCCAGCGGAAAAGATTGCAAAGTTGAATTTGGAGAATCCGCTGGTGGTTGGGTTGCTACAAGCAACCTCAATTGAGACCTCGGTTCACTTGAGGTGGACCTCGGCCATTCCGAACTGATGAGTCCCAACAGGACGAAACCGCGGTCTTGGGGTGCCGGTGTTGGGATGAGCAACACTATAATTTTCATTTTACTTACGGTCTCTTTGATCGGAATGGCCGAGGTCCACATCAAGTGAACCGAAGTCTCAATTGAGGTTGCTTGTAGCAACCCAACCACCAGCGGATTCTCCAAATTTAACTTTGCAAGCATTTAATCCGTCCTATCAGCTGAAGATATACTGGCTGGATTACGGGCACATTGATAGCAGGACAAAGCTTGTCTCCCGTGCCTGTCTTACTGCAATTATCAATCAATCCCTATTCGGACTGGCAGTAGTGGCGAACGCAAGCTGCACGGTGGAGAGCGGAGCACCAGTGGAACAATGCATGTCCGATTGGTGACTTCGAAATAGGTTATAAGGGGCACGAATGCTCCTCAATGTCAATACGATCAGTATTATTTTGTAACTGCACGAACACTTTATCCATTGAGTGTAAAATGGAAATGCTACTTTCAAAAAGAAGGAGGGAAGTGCACGTGGGTTGGGGTGGTAACTTTGACAAAGTAGCGGTTGCGAAGTAAACCATGAAGCTTGAACTTTACCTGCTTGGTAAGAGGTCCACTAAAGAAGCTTGGCAAGTGGGGTCGAATGAGTGGCAGTTCTAGAAAGCATGCCATGGTGGCAAGGAATAAATCGGCAAAGTGCAAGAGCACCGAAGGCGTGGGACCGCACGTTTCTCTCACCGAGCGTGAACGATACTTCACCAGCATCAGCGGTCAAATGCGGTTAGTCTTATTATGTCCTCAGACTTCAGTGGCCGAGACTGCGGTCATTGCAGTAAGGCTAGTCTCACAGCAGCGTCAATTTATGTGAGACAGAACATCCAAGGTACTACCTAGTGATTCCATGCTGTCTCTCTAGCGATGGTGGAAAGTGCTTAGGGCGCAACACCTTATTCCGCTTTGGCAACACCAGCTCGTGTTGGATCTTATTAATCGCCTAATTTGCTACTTTTACATCCGAGATGTATTGGGTGCCTCAACTGCTAATTGCAACTCCATCAGGTCGACTAAAATTTTCATCTAAAATGCTCTTTGTCTGTGATCTTTATTCTTCCTTTTTCACAGTCTCCCATAACCTTGCTTAAATCTTTGATAGACCAAACATCGTCGCAATAATCCCTCGAGAGGTTTTGTCTATGATCTATTTGCGTCTTTGTTCAGCTCGTACTGCCTCAGCGTTGACGTGACCATCACGCGACACGTGCACTGTTTCGCTCTCTCCCTGCGCATGCGTCTGCGGCCATACGCAGCCAAGTCAGATCTTCGTTCCTCATTGTTTTTTCTGCATTTTTCTACTGTTTCAGAATCGATCACTGCTTGGTCACCATCCAGCAAGCCATACCAGATAAATCTGTGGCAGACTGCGTGGAAGCGCTTGTCGGCTGCTATTTAACTACGCGAGGTGAACGATCTGCTTTGCGATTGTTGCGTTGGTTTGACATCGATTGCCTGCCGGCTCCAGGTAAGTGATGCAACGGTGGGGTCCATAATTTTGTCCTCGTTCTGTCAACCAGGTTATTTCGCAGTTTCGTAAGGACCGTCAAGCTCTATTCTATAAATAAATAAATAAATTTTTATTCTCGACAATGCGAGGCACACCTTTACAAGCATGATCATATTTAGCTAACATAGTGTGACTAAATTGTACAAAAGGACATGTTTGTATAACTGTATGTAAGTATATGGGTGTATACACGTATGTAATTGTGTAGGAATGTAACTTGTGTTTTTGAATGCGCCGCAGAATTGTTGACTGTTTGTTATCGTCAGGAATGTGAGAATAAGCGATTGATTTTCGTGGGTTGGATAGCATTTTCCGAATATCCACAGGCCAGTGACTTTAGTTGGTGGCGAGTCACATCCGCCACGTCGCAGTGTTGTTAAGGAAACGTTTCACTTTAGGTACAAAATCTTCCTCAGGTAAAGCTTTTGTGTTAAAAGTGAAACGCTCCCAACAGCGAATACACTAACCGGTAGCTCACGAAGCCTTCTGAAACGATGACTGTCAAGCGCATTTAATTCCTTTAAGGTGTCCGGATGGTTTTTGGAATCCTCTGTTCCCAATGTACGCTCATGACTCCATCACTGAGATTTTCCCCTTATCCAAGTGGAAAGCAATGGGTCTCTGTAGGACCGTAGGCTTTGCCTGGCTTCTATGAGTTTAGTCAGCGACATGATGCCACTTCGGACGAGCCAACACAACGCATCTATTTTCTTCACACTTCCGATACCGTCTTCTCTCGCTGTTGCTCCGTATCCACTGTAACATAAGCATTGCGAAGGGGACGATTTCGTTCGTCTGCCACATCGAAATTAGTACCGCAGTTTGTTAGGGTTTACAAGTGGGCAACGCCTAACAATCATTTGCTTTCAGTCTTGGTGAGTAAAATTCCCTCCATCGCACATCACGTCCCTGGTTGAAACTGCTGCGACGCCCTTGCTTTGAATGCCGCTTTAATCGGAGCGGAAGATTCGACTCTTGTGGAGTGCGCCTTGCGCTTGCAAGTGGCTGCTGTACTTCGGATTGACCCGCCCGGTCTTCCATTGGTTCCTACTTCACTGCACCCGGACTAACGCGGACACTGCACGACCACTCGCGAGTCTCAAGAGAAAAAAGGCAATCACCTTCAGTGAAAGCGCTGTTGCCTCTCAAGCCAAAGGTGGCATATGGACTGTATAGCCTGATTAGCCTTCATATCAGAAGTGGTACAGTTGTCACTGGATAATGGTGGCGAAGATTGTCAGGAGTACTTGATTGCCACATCGAAACGGTATCACTGGGGCTCATGCAATGATCTGGTAACATTGTCTCTGGGACGAGAACAGAGGTAATTGTCGTCTGAGAACCTTGTCACTGACACAATAATAGCATCTTGGAAAATGATGTTCGCCGCGAAGCTTTTGCGGAACCATGAGATCTACACAACAGTGATTGCGTGTCGCAATCCATTTACACAATGAGTACTTCGTCTGACCCTTCCAATGTATCAGTAGCGGTTGTGGCAAGCGTTGCCCTCCGCCACTCGGTGGCTTAGGAGCAGACGTTTCGGCTGACACCCCAAGACTCCTGCATTCGAGACACAGTCTTATGGGGGGCAAACAAGCATGGAACCGGTCGCGGAGGGCAGTGTGTTGCTCGCGGGATTGCCGCACTTGTTTACTGCTTCTGGTTGGTGCAAATCAAGCATTTACAACCTGTTTGCCCTCTATGCTTCAGGTATTCGCGCACTTCACCGTTTGACAACGTGGCTGCACTTCTTGCGCGTTTTGCTGCCTCAGGCTCCCTACCACGTCGCCAGCGATATCAGTCCCTGTTGCGTGATTCGCAACATGCCCCGATTCTTTAACACTGGAATATCGTCCGTTAAAACAAACTCGTCATCATATACGTTAATGTAAACTATGCACGGTCACAGCTACTTTGTAGAATTTCGAGAACACTTTTACTGGATTTCACGCTGCGTTTAAAGGCACCTCACATAACCAGCATTTCTCTAGTTTTTCTCGCGTCACGAATGCTTCCGCCCACTGCACGACAATACGATTAAGAGCGGGATTATTTTGCTCACATGACAGCATTTTTTTATGGCAAAAGGCTAGCAAGTCGCATAGCTGTTAAAACCAACCACAGCTCTGATCAAAACCAATAAGAAGTGACCAAGTTGTACACCAGTCTAGTGCAGTCAATGAAAGATGAACGATAGCTTCGTCGTCCGGGTGGGACTGTGATCCACTAACAACAACAACAACAACAACAACAACAACAACAACAACAACAACAACAACAACACGTGGCGGTCAATGGGATTACCAAAATCATACAGTGTAATAAATACCAACGAATACTTGTAGCCAAATGCAAGTCTGAAGTCGCACACTTTCAACTGGGCATACCCGGGTTTACTGTTCCTGTAATCAGATTCAGGTTTTCATTCCCAACAATATGGCATGTACTGCGGCTAAAATTTGACCCATGGTTAAATCCACCGTGCAAGGTTATCCGTTTCCCGACGGTGTTACTTGTCGCATGAGTTTGGCTAATAACCCCCCAAAGTGAATAGTATGGTGACGTCGCAGCAGTTAGTTTCTAATGTTGGTTACTTCCAGCAATAGCGATCTCCGATACCATTGGTTGTACGGACAGCATTAAGGCGACTCCCTCGAATGGGTGCTCCGCGATTGAAACAAATGATCGTTTCAGCGCCACTTCTACTCCACAAAGCAACGAGTTTAGTAATCAGCTGTTTCACATGGGACGGCGTTTCATACGTGCCACTTTCCATGACTGGGAACATCAGTGCTGCATATGCTTTGGAGCATCACTCTTCAAATGGTCACAGCGTATTCGCGTACATTTGACTGTTCGTATTTACCGTATTTCGAGTTTAATATGCGCTAGTATTTTTGAAGATGACATCGTGTTGATACACGATTTAAGCTTCAATACTGGTCCGTGCATCTTCATATTCAAGAGCACGAACAACCATCCGTTTTTTGAACTTGTCTGATTTAGCCTTTTGCGTTATCAGAGCCGCATACATTCACACTTTTTGATCTGGCGGCCATAGTCGCATCTGTCCAAACGCGGTGAGCCTCTCCAAAACGTTCTGTTAGGTAGTCTGGTTTTTCGAACTGTTTTATGCTTTGAACTTCGTTGTACTGTTGATAAACGCACTTCCCGTTCGACCAAGAGACCAGTCTCGCGTATTACACGATAGTTTTCCTCTTAGGTCGGCAGAAACCCGCAATACTCCCCTCACCGTACGTGAAGTAAACAAGTTCGAGTACATTGTGTAACCACGTTGGCATATGCATTGCCTAATCCTAACCAGTAGCACCGGAAAGAATGGGAGAGAACTAAGTGTGGTCATGGCTTCACAATTCGCCATCACTGTAGTTTTGTGTGCGCTATCCCATCATATACATGAAAACGTTCATCTGTCTGTACATCCGCAGATTGGAATTAGCTGCAACACTGGGTCGGACCTAAATTCTAGACGCTGGCACGAATTGCGCCAGCCCCAGGGCATGGATGTAACGTTAGTCGAAGCGAGGCGTGAGACACTACCTCCACAGCGTGAGCTTTTTTCACGCGGAATACTAGTTCGCAATGACAGTGTGTTCCGTTGAGGTTCATGTAAGGATATCAACAGGAAGGGTCCACTTGAGCTATTCATGCGTCCGCTTGAGCCAGGTATAGGATAAAACAAGTGTACAAACGAAAAGTCGACACGGACGGATTCCACATACTTGAGCATGTGTTCACAATGCATCAGCTGTGCTTCAGATATGCAAGAAAAATTTGTGCTATCCTTCTTCCAGCGAAACATTCAACAGAGCTCGTTTGTTTCAATATCCACTGATTCATTGCAAGTAACGGCTCTATCTGTGATACCAACCGTTCCCACATTTGTTCGCTTAACTCCTCCCATGGTATATGTAAGGTGATTCCACCACTTCCTCCAGTAACGTCACCTAATTGTGAACCCAAGAGGTGCGCGAACCACCCCCTCGCATGAGCATATGACGCACACGCTACATTGACTCGTTACCAAATAGACAGAAACAATTTTGCAGCGCGATTAGCTAACCGGTCACTGTACGGATACCATACAGATTGTTCAAATGACCGATCCGCAGTTCTTTAACAACAGTAATAGAGCCACGGGACTTTACATACACCAGGATTCTTTGGCGCTTTATTGTTGTGCCCTTCAAGGTTCTTCTGAACTGCAGTTTGGTGTGGTATCCGATCGCTGCTCCAATCTCCTGCTTTTGGTGTGCTTTTTAACCCTGGTCTGCTGCCATTTGAACAAGCCGCTAAAGGTGCCTCGCAATATAACCGGTTAGTTCTAATCCGCAATAACATCTCATTGTAGGCCTATCTCCACGTAGTTTGATCTGGGTATCCTTTGTACCACCCCGTCCGTACCAAACGCGCCTTAGCTGTGCTCTAGTCACTGACCAAGCACTTCTTTGAGACCTGTTGGGCCAACTATCTTGCAAACACTATGTTGGCGACAGTCATCATATAATGTATCTACATCCAACAAGAGGTAATCAACTATATCACCATTGCTTACAAACGTCCGTGTTTAGCCTGTGCGTTGTACTACAGTTGTGTCAAAGACAAGTCCGATTCCTTTGCCAAATTGTATTGCCCTCCTACGATACTGCGAGTGATTCAGCTGGACAGCTGACCACCTTCTTTACTCCCTCTAGCACAGAAAACATCGCCTAATTAGGCTTATGGTTCTAACTCCCCTTTTACATATAATGAAAATACGAAAAGACGTCCGATTCAGTTCCACTTAGTGCCTGACCGATAATACATCTTCCCAACTCTCCTACTGAAAACGTTGAAGCTGGCTGTTGTCGGGCGTTCCCGACTCCCGGGTTGGGGCCTAAAGGACCCCGAGCACACCTGGTTGCAAACGCTGGAGGATATGGCCAAGGACCGTACGCAATGGCGCACTTGCTGTGAGACTCTTCTACCCTAACAGTTGTTTTCCCTTTCACGCTATCCTTTTTTCTTATGTGTTGTGGCACTCAGCTAATTATATTGTAATTGGTATACTGTTGAATACATATATATGCACCCGCTTCTTTTTTCTCAAAGGTTCATATATCCGTCCTCATGGAGCTCCGTGGTCACCGCCACCACCAGCCTTTCCTCCCAACGACCCGCGTTGGGCCCAGCTGAACGAGGCCCGCCTCGTATGGCGCCTAAATGAACTTGAAAGTCAATTGCGCTACACTTTTAAAGACCCCGCTCTGCTTCTTCAGGTACCACGGTAACACTCTTTTCACCTTCTCTATGTATGCGCGCTTCGGCACGTCCACTTTTGCGTTAACACTATGTTACAGCATTGATTGGGTGCATAGATTATCTAAAACATCTCATTTTCAAGATTCGATAGGCTCATTTTCACTTTACTTAACAGATATAGGTCGCTACAGCGATTTCAAATACGAACACCGTGGATTGAAAATGCACAGATGTTTATGGCTGGGGATCTGTACTTGACCAATGACAAGTCCCAAATTATTTTCCACTTCTAAAGTATGAAATAAATAAATAAATATTTGTTCTCGACGAAGCGATGCACGTCCACATAGACTTGATCATTGCGTTTCCTTGTTATGCTAACGTATTCTCTTGCGATGTAACATATGTTAAAGCTGAACCTTAACGGAGCGCGATCGTTTGCTTACCTCAGTGATCCACTATGCTCTGCTGGGCGGCGCTTTTTAAACATTTAGAGCCACTCATACTAGATTGGTTAGTGGTTAACGGCCAGACAAAGTCAGTATCCTGTCCATCCAGGTTGAGAGTTGGAGTGACAGTGGCTCATTACACTATAAAACAGACTTTGTAGCCCAGTGTCTTGCGGTCAGGTTCTTGATCTAAAGGCCTTGGTTGAGAACCCTGACAATGTCCTGTTCACGCAATACAATAAAATTTTTCTGAAATAACTTCTTGATGCCCTGGCCGTTACGGAGCAAATTCGACGGCACCCAGTCGGCTGCATTGAGCGGGGTGAATAGGGATGTGCATTCTGCTGCTCAATCCATAGAGCATCGCTCCGGTTGATTAGACAAGTCTATGTTGAACCAAGCGGAAAACCACGGTTTATCCGACTGCATTTGGTACACTCGATCGTTGCTGTGACTGATGTACCTCAACATGCGCAATTTGTCAACGGGCAGCACTTTCCAAAAACATCAGTGGTCCTATCAATGGAATTCTGCTTCCTGTCGGAAACCGGCATGCAAGGCTCGAGCTCCGTGTGCAGTTTACTTTCCCACTCATGCAACATTGGCGGCGCTTTATCATTTTATCTATCCAGATATAATGCAGCTTCGTATGTCTGTCAAGCAGATGTCAGCACTTCTCTGAGCCTCTGGTCTAAAACTGCTCCGATCGGCTGGCTTGCAATTAGCAGCCGGATGCGCGCCGTCTGATTAGCGGACTCGTTTGAATTTTCAAAGTCGCGCGGGACCTAATAGATGCCTGTTTGCCATCACTACCTACACTCCCAGAAACCTTAGTGCTGAGACTGTGAAAAATGGTTCCTACCGCAAATTAACCGGGCGCCGTCACAGATGAAGTGCGCATACTATAGTACTGACTGGTGAACTGAACGCTTATGTTGGAAAACAGTCCAATGATCAGCTGCATCTGGCTGATCAACACGGTGTAGCTTCCTATAATGATAACGATGAGCGGTTGCTACCTTTGTGTTGCTATGCTCGTTTATTTCTCGCGAGTGTTAACTTCCGACACAGCGCCCGGTGCTGGGCTGCATGGTTCCCGCTAGCGTCTGACCAGCCATGGGCGCAAATCGATCATATCGCGGGTAATTACCCTTTGTGACGCTGCGTCCAAAACTATCACTCGAGTTGTAGAACAAGTGTGGACTTATCTGCTGGGGCATTTCGGAGGACATTTTTGGCGACGCTGTGAGCGCATAACCACTTGCCAGCTGGTGGGTTCAGTTGTTCTGAATACGTATCAAAGTGTGCCTGTATCCGGTTTGGGTAAGTGCTCTTCGAACACACCCCACTCTTCACTGGTTCGAAAGACATTTACGTCAGCAGGTGTATGTTAATATACTAAATCTGAATGACAGCCTAGGTACTGTGTTTCTGCGCGGTCTATGAAACTCTCGATGCTTGACGACGCATTTTGAATGGAGCGGATACAACGTGGTTCTCAAAGATTGTGGGGCAAAACCTGATGCTGGCCTGAACAGACATAGTGAAGCCCGATGATCTCACTGTGCGCTGGAGATTGAGGCGGTCGCTGTTTTTCCTCTTATCCTGGAAACTGGCACGAATCAATGGAACCTGATTTGATCGAACGCTATTCAGGCCAACTGCGCATTTGAATGGAACTCAATCTACGTAGGTTCGTTAGCTACTTTCAGCTCAAGCTACGAACACGTTTGAATTCCACTGCTTTTACTCATATCCCTTTATGCGTTGCTTCTTATAAAACACAATTGCCTCTTAAGACATACACTCCGATTACGGCTTATCTCGTGTTCTCACTCTTGTTAATGGGTGCAAGCAGGCAACGAGAGATCTAGTGTTAATGAAACTATATCTGATGAGAGTGTGTAGCCTATCTATAACCTGTTAAAACGCTTAGGGCGTTAACGTGAACGCTTTGAAAATCAGCTAAATTAACCAGAATTACCAGACTTGTTGCCTGACGTCGATTACCCTGTTCCCTGGACCGTTCCTTTGCATCCGACCTCTCGCGTAGAAGTCGAACATGAGATCAGACTGCTGAAATTGAGAGAAACATCGGAACCGGATGGGTTTGCTCCCAATCTCTTCAACTTCTGTGGACCTGCGTTTGTGTACGACTTACACGATTTATCAGTAGGACTGCGGGAGTGGAAAACTGTCTCAACCGACTGCATTTGTTCCATTGTAGTCCTGAGGTTTAAAGTGATTTGCGTTCTGAATGCGGCTATCGTTGAGGAATCACTCGGTTCCCAGTTGCCTACAAATTACTTGCGTCTGTCCTCCATAGACTGGCTAGCACCCTTGAAAGCCAGATTCGCGAGGAGCAAGCCAAGTTTCGTTGAAATCGAGGCTGCATTAACCGCATATTCACTCTGCTCGTTAGTGGAGCACGGACATATTTATTGGCGTGTCCCCCGACATCAAAGGTGCTTTCGATTCGACGAATTGATGTGCCCTTTGGGACCGTTCGGTCAGAAAAGATGTGACCGAGAAATACGTAGACATCACCAAGACACTTAACGCACGTAGCTCGGACAGAGTGAGGATTTATGGCAAGTTGTCGCCGCCCTTCAATATCTCCAACGGTGTGAGACAAGATTGCCCACTGTCACCTTCCCTTTTTAAATATGCCACTGGCTTAGTTATGGTAACTGCGTTCACTGGACTCGACCTGCAAGATATAGAGCTGCTTCCAGGTGACCTATTTATTGAGTTGGAGTATGCAGATAATATTATCCTAATCCGTGGCACCTCACAAACGTACCAAGCAGCACTGGAATAATTAGCACTGACTGTCATCCGAAATGCGAAGCTTTCTGCCAAGATTGGCAAAGGCAGCCTCCTGCGCTGTCGTCCAGAAATTTAACTGACTGGGCAGCTATATCAGCACTTGCGGATTAGATGAGGCTGTCTGTTCAGGTTACCCTTTGACGAGTGCGAGACCCGGACTACCAGATTGATAGGCACAAGAAGGCTAGTTCCATTTGACAGCTGGCGCCTTCGCAGTTTATATCATATCTGATGGGAACACCATGTGAGCAATCAGCGTGTCTCCCACCTTGGCTGGGCTGTGTTAGGCATGTGAACACCGACTGCCGCGACATACGTTGATTGCTCGACCGGGGTGTGGATGAAGAAAGTGGAGGGAAGACCAATCTATGACTTGGTCAAGAGGAATGGCGGCTCCAGCCTTCAAATTGGCCTCGGTTTATGTCTACTGTCTCCTAGCTTGGGGTACTAAAGACGATGGACGCGTTTGGTTTGTGGCGAAGAGCCAACCTCAGTGGCGCTTAGCCTGCTCCTCAAAGACAGTCTCCACCGATGCATACTATAAATCATTGTGTAATGTCATTTATTTTGTTCGTTTTTTCTTTTTTGTAGCCACTATTTGCACTGTGTTGCGGCACCATAACTGAGTTGTTTATCACCTGCCGTGTATGTGATTGAATAAGTGGGACGGCCTTTGGCGCGTTTCTCTTTCTGGCGCTTGAGCACGGGCTTAGAGTTTTAGTTCTCCTGCTGTGCTCCATCCGTTCTTGTTAGTCACCCTGATTTCATACGGTGTTTTGTCACTGATGCGTCCGTAATTTTCCAATGCGGGGCTGTCCGCCTTCTGAGCTGCATAAAGGAAGGTATTCGACATCTCAAATTCTGGATGTATTTAAAGCGTCCGTTTTATCCGAACTTCGTTTATATTTCTCCCTATGTGATTTTAGGGTGTTTTCCACGTCATTCGCTTTACGCGTTCCACGTTTTGTGTTATTCTCTAACCTCTGCAATTCTCAACTACCTGTCACAGGATTGATACACTAACTATTGGGTTTTCCCTCTTCGTTTCTCCAGGCATTTACCCATCCTTCCTATCACCAGTTGCGCAATACACCATCTTCTGAAACCGACTCAGATCAATCCGTCACCACTTTCCTGACTGATACTGAGTGCTATCAACGTTTAGAATTTCTGGGGGACGCAGTCCTTGATTACGTCATCACTCGATTCCTCTATGAGGATTCTCAGCAACACTCTCCTGGAGTGCTGACTGATTTACGTTCAGCGTTAGTGAACAATAACATCTTCGCGGCTCTGGCAGTTCGCATTGGATTGCATGAATTCCTTCGCGCCTCCTCTCCGCAATTGTTACACATGATTGACGCTTTCGTGTGCTATCAGAAAGATGTGGCCAAGGATGATCTCGACTTCATTACTAGCGAAGTGAGTTCCATTTCCCTGGGGGTTACTTTTGATGAGTACACTCTACCAGCCGTGTGACATAGATTACATTTCATCGGTTTCTGTTAAATACTGGTCGGATCTTCTTATGTCCATGTACTCACCAAGCTTGTCAATTGGGTTGTGGATGCTCCGCCACCGAGCGAGATCGCATCTTCACTGCTTTGCATTGTCTTATGCTCCCTGTGAATGTAGGTTTATATACGCGCTTTAGATGTTGTTGCCCCTGCTTGGTCACTTAGTTGAGTTCCGTTTTGTGGATTTACATGATTGCATTTATTGCTATTGTGTCAGAAGTGCAGTTAAAATTTCTTGGCGGACAGGTGTATAGTCGGTGGATCGACCTAACTCGAGCTATTCTGATTTATCTATTGGCTACACACTCAGCAGTTTCCGCTTCTCTCTATTTCTTTCCGTCTAAGTGATTGACTTGACTGAACACATGCCTAAATGCTTTCGATCGGTGATGCGAAACCAAACGCGCCATCTAGAATGTTTCTAACCCAGATTACCGCTAACGGTTCTACAAGTGGACGTATTACTTTAATTGTGACTCTGACGGTTTTTCTTCTTTTTAAATCTGATACAGTCCTTTCACTATTTCGATGCATATGTTCCCTTCTGTGGTTGTGATTGTGTAACATAGTTGGGAAATCCTGATCATGCCGGAAAGGGCATGTCTCGTAAAACAGAGGATATACATTATTATTATTGTTATTATTATTATTATTATTAATACTATTGCAGGTATGGAACTGATGACTTCAGTGAGGCAGACAAGCCAGTTCACAGTACGCAGCCCCTGCGAACTACCGGAGCCTGATTATGCACACGTGGGTGGAGTGTATAGATTGAATCGCAGACTGTGATGCTTTTGGCGTTTTATTATCCGAATGGAACGAAGCCGGAGTTGCGGCGGAAAGTCAGCCATGTTGAAGGGATCATGAACCAACCGAAATTTCCATATCCGTTACTGCAGTTCTTGTGGTCGTGAACGCTAACTACGCAATCTCTCGGCTACCTTCAAACCTCGGTGGAACATTATTCTTTCCTTTAGATTAAGGCTGCGATATTGAATACCCATGGGGTACCAGGTGACGAATTAGATGTCTGGAAGTGGGTAGACGACTAATATTAGACATCATCAGTCCGGCTTAACCGTTCGAATTCAACAAACGTTCGAATGTGTCAACCGAGAGCCCAGTTATCAAACACTAACACTGACAGACATTATTCATTCGGTTCTTCCACCAGCTAGGAACAGTGCTGCATAGGCATCTTTGGTCACAGGCGACTGATCTTTTGATTTGTTCTACACGCACTGGCCATTCCCCCCGACGAATGGAGTATCACAGGCTACACTATAGCACTGCGCACCCTGGGGACTTATGGTACCAGCAGAACGAGCTGCTCCAGTCCGGTACAACAATACCCGGTTTCCTTATCGTGTATATATCGTGTGTTTATCCGAAACACTGTACATAGTGCACCGGGGTGTGAATATCTTTTTCAAGGCGTCTGTGTTAGTCATTCCATCTTGGTCGTGGATGACCGAACTTCAGTCGCTTGGCGTGTGCGTTCACTACAGCACGTGCCAGGCTCAATCAGCAGCATGCACTATAGTCAATGTGAGTTCATCTTCCGGACATTGGCACGCAGAGTGGATATGCTTTGCTTCTTTAGCAATGAGCTCACCGCTGTATAGGTTGCTCTACTCATTGGCCCGCTTCAGGCGCATGAACCTATTTGCGTACAAGGGCCTTTATTTTTGATATTCCCTAATGGTCTATGTGCAGTTCGCATAGGATTGTCGCATAGGTTCATTGTTGCACGATGACCATATAACTCAAAACATATAATCATTCTCCGGATTTACTTCTGTTATTCAATTGTAGAATGCTTTCAAGTCCTCCCATGTACCTAACCAAGTAGGACACAATAAACAAGCTTCGAGACATCTCATGGTCTCTCTGTGTTGTGTTCTTTTTTTCTTTTTACTACCGATGTAACTTCCTTTGCTTTCCACAGTTTTTGATCGCCGTATTAATTTTCTTGGACATTTGTTTAAATTTGCATTGTCATTGTTCCTGGCTTCTTACTTTCTTTAATGCATTTGACCTGCTAACTACTTTAATGCCCGTTTTGGATCCATTGTAAAAAGCGTGAACAAATTGATTATTTTTTGCGATCCTGCTGTACACGTTGATCAGACCACATAGTTGGACTGCACCTCGCATCGCCGAGAAATTATACCATTTATTTATTTATTTATTTATATACTGCTACCGTTGCTACCGGGTCACAGCTGGTGCGAGTCGACCGAGAGCATCGGCTATACCACCTACAAGATCACCTTCGATTCTCCTGATAACGACTTGTGGTCTACGTGTACTTCGCTTCTACGCTCATTGAGGTATTGGTGGAAATGTGCTACACCAAACACAGTCGCTACCGTCTAGTTTTTCCGCTTGGGTTGAGATAGCGTCTAGAAAGCAAATTCAACCGATCTCTCTTATGGCATCCGGGTACAAAAACGTGGCACCGACTCCGTAAGATTGTGGCGTAGCTCTCCAAAGGCGCGAAATATCCAGGTGAGCTTCGACGAAAACGATACGCTGTTTAAATGCTACGGTAAGTCACAGATCTGCTGATGGTCTCACGGTTACGGCCACGTGCAGTGCACTGGCTCTCAAGGCCTGGCGATGTCGATGTGGAGTACGTGAGAGGATTACGAGCAACAAGCCAAAGGTTGAATACTAAGGCAGTCGAGATTGCTAAGACTAACAACTGTGGGTTTAGTTATCATACACGTGGTGGGCCGTCTTAACTCGGTCTGTCAGGAAATGTGTCGACGGTTGGACTCAGGTCGGAGTGTGAATCAGCAGCATCAGAAACAGGAATGCTTCATGTGGACGACCGGTGACGCGGGTCAATAAGGAACGCTCGTTGTTACACTAGAATGACCATCTGATCTACTGATTCGTGTTATTCCTTGCAATCTTCACCCCACTTTTCCATAAAATGCTAAGCCGATTGTGTACCGATTCACCTGGCCTGAAGAAGCTCTTGCGTCAAGAGCGAAACATTGTCATAATAAAAAACTTACAAGTACCGATTTGTATTCAAAACCTGCTGAAACCATGAAATCCTAGCCGGTTCTAAGCCTATTCCGAGATATTGAAGTAGCTGAAGTTGTTCGTCTGACGTGATCAGAGTACAGATCATCAAGTTCTCCTCTTGGAGCTCAATGGCTTAGTGATCGTGGTGATAGCCGCCAACCACTATGTGCCGAGTTCCACTCCCAGTTCAGGCTATCTCTACCTGATTAGTCCGAACCAGAACGAAACGCGTCGTGGAATACAGGGATGAGAGAGAGCCACACTGAAACTCTCCACTACCAATTGTTTTATGTTCTTGAGCCACGAACACTCAACAGTCTGACCAACGTTGCAGTTATGACCAACGTTATTAGTAGCTTGGTCTAAGCAAGCACATTGTGGTCCTGCGATGAGTAGGATCCTTCAGCGTAGGTGCTCCACCGGAGGACAAAGCGCCTAAAATGACACGGGTATAAGAGTTTCACACGTGGCCGGTCCCCTCACTGGCACATCACTTTACGCACAATCCCGTGCCATTTGGAATGAATCCCTCGGTTATATTGCTGGCAGTGAACCGCATGCATCCATCGGAACGCAAGGCATCACTGATGGTGACTGGGTCACAGCTCATTCCACGATTGAACTCGGTCGCGACAGCTTTTCGCACGCGTTAATCAGTCGGCATAGGGTACTGGCTCCGGGGGTAGGAACATGTTCTCCTCAGTATCGGCAAGTTCAGCTGTTGCTGGCAGACGGTACGGAAACGCTCGTGCGGTCTGCGACAACGCCGTCCCTGCTGTAAGCGTTGCCCCATTGCAACAACGGCAAGCTTTATGTTGAATCAGCCACAATGTTCGCATGGGGTGATAGCAGGGTGCGACACCACAAACCGAGGTGGATAGCTTGCGACCGCTTCATTCACCAGGTTCAGTTTTGAAGGCGTGGCGGTATTGGATCACAGAGTCTCGCTTCGCCCCTGGTTCACCAGCCTCCTCAAGCCTTAAGTCGCTGAATCTCCTATGCCTCGGCAAATTAGTAAACCTTGGTTATTCCGAATAATTCACGCGGGTTGACAGACATTAGTGAATCGATGGCGGTCAAAGGTCACATGACCCGTTGTTCGTCTGCCGTCTCACCCCATTCTGTCCACACTCCAGGCCTACGAAATTCCCCCACTGAAATGCAACATATTCTCCATCTGTGTATGTGCGTGTGTATTTTTGTCCCGCCACTGTGTTTACTTGCGTGTTAACCCTGCACAATGTGTCTGCACAGATCAGCGTTCACGGATCGACCTTGACCGCTTTTGTGTGAACCAATTCCCCACCTCTCTACAGACAGTAGCACGCTCACCTTTTGGTGAGCGTTGCCCGCCCATTGCACTGGTCGCATTCAGAAGTTTGAGTGCCTAATCAGTTACACACACACACTATCGCAAAAAGCAGTGAAAACAATGGCTACATTCATCACAATTTATTCGGGTGCAAGTGGATTTTCGACAATGGTGACAATGAAAACAAAAGCAACGAATCGCTTCAACCTTTAGGAGGACTTACGATGTACATTAACTGAAACTGCACCGGACATTAAAGAACTAATTGAAACTAGGGCTTGCAAACAGTCTCATTAGCTTGGATTCCCTTTTGATTTAATAGCAAAAATCGCTCAAAAATAGGGGTTTTCTTTAGATGAATGATTGAAATCTATAGGAAAACAAATTTCCGTAATTTAAAGTAAGAACGTGCGATAACCAACAGCTAATTTGTTTTTCAATTAATTGTTTTTGGTAATTATTGATATTGAACCCGTTTTGGAGGTAACAGCCTCAAACAGGTCTGGAAGCACTGGTGTCAAACATGGGTCGCCGCACACCACAAGGTCACACTTTCCCACCCCTTCGGCGATATTCACATGAATGGCGTCTGTGAAGGCATTCCTAAACGGTTAAGCGTTCGGCGAATGGAGTGCAGGGGGCCTGACACCACATGCATTGGTGCGTGTCAATGCGCATCTTGGAATTTTGTGGACCACACTGGCGCGTGGGTCGTGGGGATATTGCCCCCTGTTCTGCTTATCCCTCTGGTTATGACACGTAACGAAAACAAAGGTTGACATACTGGTGAACTGTCACTAAACGTTTTCCGGATTCTCCATGGCAGTCGTAACATTTTTCTTCGTGATAACATCAGGTCCATGTGTTTCTCTTAGTGGACGCTACCGTGATTAGGTGGTAAAAATTCCCGCATTCGCTCCTGGTATACCATTTTGCCCACATTGCGTGTGAACACTTACTACCGCCCCTGAGCTCGATAATGTTTGCATTTTAGCGTATACTAGCTTCCATTGAGACTGTATCTGCTTCGTGGAACCGGCTAGCATC